CAGACCTCGAATACGCTGATGATGTAGTCCTTTTTGCTGACAGCTATAATGAAATGCAAATAATGTTAAAAAATGTGCCATTACTGCACTAAGAATCGGATTTCAAGGTCAACGTAAATAAAACGAAAAAGTTTTCCTCTCATATACAAGATGCTGATAAAATACTTATTTTTATCAATTCATTGCCAGTTAAGAAAGTGCTGGACTTTAAATACTCTAATCCCGAATGGCCAGGCAAAAGATGAAATCGTAACCTGGATAGCGGCATTATGTTTTCCGATTGATGAAACCTTTATGGAATCGTCGCGAAATCACCATAAAGACGAAAATCCACATCCATATAGCTGTAATTCGTTCGATCTTGCTATATGGCTGTGAAACACGGCCAATGAGAGTGGAAGATATTAAGAAGCTATTATCGTTTGACCACTCATGTCTAAGGTATATTCTACGGAACCGCCGAGCAGATAAAATCGCACATGATTGTATCCACTTTCGCTCAGATACCACCTGCATTAATAATGTTATCATAGAGCGTCGCTGGTTAGGACTCGTTCTTCGTCGTCAACCACAGGAGTTGACGCATATTTCGTTACTTGCTACACTGTGTAATGGTTGGCGTCAAAAACGATGTGGGCCAATCAAAACCTGGACTGATACATTCAGGAAAGATTTTGAACTTATAGGGTGACCAGACGGAACCGCCGAGCAGATAAAATCGCACATGATTGTATCCACTTTCGCTCAGATACCACCTGCATTAATAATGTTATCATAGAGCGTCGCTGGTTAGGACTCGTTCTTCGTCGTCAACCACAGGAGTTGACGCATATTTCGTTACTTGCTACACTGTGTAATGGTTGGCGTCAAAAACGATGTGGGCCAATCAAAACCTGGACTGATACATTCAGGAAAGATTTTGAACTTATAGGGTGACCAGCGATATATGGACTTAGACGATGGAAAAATGAATGGTTTCTATTACTGTCGACGATGGCATCTGACAGCATCACTTGGAAATGACTTGTAGCCAGTTAGCTTAACCAGTAATGGTGAGGAGAAAGAAGAAGAAGTTTAATTTCATAAAGCCACTGAATTATTTTGCTGAAGCTTGTATCATCCTATAACAATCAATTCTCCAACCTTCCAACTGTTCAATAAACTTAGCGGTTATCAATATATGAACACAGAATTAGATAAAATACTGGTAATATCGAGGAATTGTGTATTCTTTATAAGCAATTTGATGAGTACATTAACATTTATCCGCTTTCCCGCTGACTGCTACCTCATCCACTTTAGAGCCCCTGCATCGTTCAATTTTCCAATTTTCATTTGTTCTCATTCGGTGATTCTATATAAATTTTATTCTTTAAATAAAAATTTATAAAGGTTTATATGCCAGAATTCGATGTTTTATTATTGTATTTATTTTTACAATTTTATAAATTCATAGCGAAAATAAAAATTTCTTTCTTCCGATGTAAGGAACAACCTTTTATAGAATATTTCAAAATCAACGCAAATTTCTCACAAAAAAAAAAAAATATGTGACTGATTTTCAGATGATTGAGAAAGTGTTAAAAACGAAGATGATATAGCACTCAACTTATAACAGCTTACAACTTATAATGCATCATGCAAGACCACTTACAGACACACCCAAAGAATAGCGTCCAAATGAGTCCCAACGTCACCTCAGATCTAAACCGCATTTTAGTACAATGAATTTTGCGGAGAGTTTTTCAATTTTGGTGTTGCAATTGTTGTACCATGTTAACATTGCGGAATCCCGGTTTAGCAGAATTTCTTGCAAAAATTGTTTAATTTATGAAACTAATAAAGTGTAATCCGATTTAAATTATGCGGCAAATTTCTGAAAAATTCTTAAATTTCCAAAAAAACGCTTTCGAATAAATTTTCTAGGAGGGAATTTGCGCGAAAAATTGCAGTTGGATTACAGAATCCTTAACGAAATATTGTTTCAAATACTGTTTTAATAAAATAGTTTGCGAAGCATCAGCGAGCGAAACCTGTTCATCGCCTGGCATTTATTTCCTTTTTTCTTTGAAGTCTCTTTCTTTTCGCTTAATTTGGAGAAGCGAAAATGCTTTTTGCTGAATATAGCAATTATTATCGTTCAGTTTTTTTTAATCGAACATTTCTTCATTTTTCGAAAGTTATTCACTCGCAGATATTCAGCTTTTTCTTATTTTTAATTCGATACTTTTTTATTTTGACAGATAATTTTTGATTTTCAACCGACGATTATTTTCGTTATGTTCTCATGAAAACTTTTATTTCTTTGCCGGCGAAATTAACTATTGATTTCGTTTCTTAAACTTTCCATTACAATTTTTTTTGTTTCTTTTAAGGGCACTCACCATTACTGCTTAGTCTTTGAATTTTTGCCAAGGACTCATTCGGTGACACAAACACGGTAGGCCACTAAGCTATTAATGCCATTTTTTTTAAGGGCTCTCGCCATTACTAGTTAGACTCGCTCCGCTGGCTCCTCGTAATAGACAGATATGCCAGGGAGTCCCTTCGCGATAGAACTGCAGATGAGAAAATCATTCCAACTTTTGGACAGGTTTACTCCCGCAGGTTTCCTTTCCATTATATTGCAATTCGATTTACTGCTCATTTCTATGCCAGGATTCGATGTTTTATTAATGTATTATTATAAATTAAAATGAGTAGTAGTATTTCTGAAATTAATGAAATTTTATTTAGCATTTTGTCAAGATAATCGAATTTTTTTCGAGTAACTATCCTAAGTTTATCATCAATTTTGGAGAGGTCAAATGATATGGTTGCTTCGCTTCGCGTTGGGCTTCAAAGTTCGATAAAAAATTTCCGAGTAATGTTGACAAACCACTTGTACTTCAAGTAACCAAGTGATTTCCCACAAATCTTTCCAATATTTTCTAAATTTCCTAACAGCCAGACGAACTAGCCGAGCCAGTAACTAAGAAATGGTACTAACTAAATAATACTGCAATATTATTGTAAAAAATAGATTAATAAATTATTGGTTGGAAACAGTGGGAAGATATTCGCTTGCCACGCGTTAATTATATAAGGTAACCTTGATTCGGCTGCTCTCTCAGGGCAGTAGAATAAACACTGATCACCGCACGCATTAATAAAAATCTTCATTTGTCAACTCAAACTTGGGTAATTAAACCTATTAATATATAGGCAGAAAAAATATTTGATGAGTTAAATCCAGAGATAACTATTTCAAATAAAAAATGTTTAAACAATTTAAGGGATGTTAAATAACAACATGTATAATATTGAATGTTGGGACCCAACCGTTCAGCCCCAAAATGAGGTAAAAATTTTCTTGAGAACGGCATGCAATATATACTATAAATTGGCTTTTATCTTTTATTGACATATTTGAAAGTAAAGAATTAATGAGTTAATGAAAGGCTTTATTTGGTGGGTCGAGGTCACCAGTTTGAAATAATAAGTTTGAAATAGTAGAAAATATAGAATTTCGCAACAATTATAAACAAAAAATCAAATCAAAAAAATTATAATCTCTTTAAGACTTATAGCTCTGCATAACTTTTTATAACCCTGCATTATTTCCTTTTCTAGTTTCTTCGTTAGACTTACCTTTGTAAGACAAAAGGAATTGTTTGAACAAAATAAGAAATTGATGAAAAAGTAAATGGGCATTCAGAAGAGGTCATGAGTTCTAGCGCAATTCAAGAATCGGAATGATTTTTTTGATTCCCACCTTTCCACTTTTTTTTGCGCACTTTTGATTCGAGGAATGTTACGTTTTTTCATTAAAAAATCTGGATGGCACTGGTAACTCACTTGTATTCGTCAAATGACTCTCTGGCAAAAATTTTCTTCCCATATTAATGAGCAACCGAGTTAGCCCAATCAGAAATAATGAGCATCATTTAAAATTACACTGAATGTATTAGTTGGCATTTCTCAGCCCTTCGACCAGTAGATTATCGACATATTGTTATTTATTATATATAGGATATAATGTGTGTTTCATTCTTTTATTTCGATGAAAATCCGTCAGCAAAGTATAAACTTGTTTTTGTTAATAATCGTGATGAATACCTCGATCGACCGACAAGCCGTAGTAAATGGGAAAATGGAATTTTAGCAGGTAAGTGCTGCCTTTTTTAAAGCACAGATATACTTTTAGCTTAGTGGAAATTCATATTTTAAAAAGTAGCCTAATTCTTTTTCAATCGATTCCATAATCTGACGAATCGTAAATGAAAAAGTCTCAGGTTCACTTTTTACCTTATTAAAGCAATATAATAGAACCATAAATTCGTTCGTTCATTTTATGAATATCATTTTAAAGGAAGAGATGAAAAAGATTTGAGTAGAGGAACGTGGCTCTGTATGGATAAAAATGGACGAGTGGCAAATCTGCTGTCACTAACTGTGCCAATTTCCAGTTTAAAACGATCTGCTCTAAGTAGAGGTGCGCTTAAAAACGATTCAGTTTAGTATCTCCACCATTTTGCGCATCTGATTGCCCAAAATTTCTTCAGTTATTCGTTTTCTTCAATTATTCTTTAATTATCGAGAGTAAAATTTTTTTAAATTTTAAATTATGGTTGTTTGGCTTGACATCGAAATTTGAGTTAAAAGTTTCAATTTTCTGTTAAATCTTTTTTGCTTTGCATTTTATCGCCCTATTTAATTTTTTGACCTTAATTTAATTTTAATTTTCAAAAGAGAAAGGCCATAAAAATAAATAGAAAGACAATAAAAATTGCCAAGGGTTCGTCCAGAACAACCATCACTGTTTGATCCGTTAAATGAGGTTCGCTTTAGAAAATTTTAAAAAGTTTGGCCGTTATCAAAAATATATTTTTTTGTAGGACTTTTTGTATTCCATATCTTTCAGGTCGAATTCCTTTAGATTTTATCTATGGTAATAAAAGTAATGAGGATTTTTGCGAATCACTTGTAGATTGCGTTGAATACTTCAACCCCTTCCAAATTCTCTGCTTTGAACAGTACGTTTATAAAGCATTTTATTTCTAAATAAGGTATTTTTTTATTTTTCCTCTCTAGTTGCCAACGTTTTCAGCTTACGAAACAAAATCAATATGATAATAGCAAATTTAATTGAATTATATATTTATCACCAAATTCAAATATTTGGAATAAATCTTTCCATCTATGAATTATCTCTTTTATTACTAATTGTTTATACGGTTGTCTACAGAGATGCAAAAGGCCAGTATGGATGTTGCATTTTTGCCACTGAACTTGTTGATAAAATTCGACCAAAAAAGTTATCACCAGGTTAGTCAGTTACTTGATTTCGGTTTCAGTCAGGTCAGTCTTAAAAATTTTCAAAATAATTTTTCTAAAGAGAGGATTGAGAGGATTTTATTTTCAATGATACCGTTAAAATAAATCTAATAACAGCTGTAAGTTTTAACAAGTTATTTTTTGAATTTTTTTGAAGGTGTCTATGGAATCGGTAATACGCCATTAGATCAGCCATTCAAAAAAGTTCAACGAGGTATTAACCACATGCAAAAAATTGTTGACGAAATAAAAATTGGTGATGACTGTGAGAAAGAAATCATGGCGAAACTTCTAATGCTTGTCACCGACAAATTTCAGTACCAATTACTGCAATATAGAAAAATAAAAAAATGGAAGTGGTTATCATTCACCATTCCTAGTTAGTTGAGCTCTGTTGGAAATTTTTGCCAGAAAGTCAGAGAAGAAATGGGTCACCAACATCATCCTGGTTTTGATGTCTTTTCAAGATTTTGTATATTTTTCCTGTAAAATTTTTTTTTACCAAAAATTATGTCATACCTATGAAGAATTTTATTTGCAACTTTTGCATAGAAATAAATTTTAATTTAACTTTTGAATTGCAAAATTCAAATGGCAATTTAGAAAAAATTCAGTTTTTACTAGGTGTTTTCCCGATGAACTTTTAAAAAAACAATGTGGTACATCAAATGAACTGTGTCGGTATCAATCAGCTCTTTTTGTTCAGTATCCTGATGGAATAAGATATGGAACAAGGTTTATTTCCGACTTTTTCTAATTGAAGCATGATACTTGTTTAATTTTTTTCTTAATGGCATCTACCAATTTTAGTTCATGATACAATCTAGCAACTTTGAAGCCCTTCACAATGTTGAAAGATTCAGTGACCTTTCGCCAACGTTGACTTAATGGATACATTAATAGGAACTAATATGGTTTAATTCATGAAATCAAGCAAAACAAATATTGAAAATACGTTGCAGGACACATACAATAATTCTTGTTGATCGTTTAAATCGTGTCACTTTTCACGAGAAAACAATGATAAAAGCACCAAAAGTGATCAGTAATGCTGAATGGGATGAGCGAACATTCCGTTTTACCTTAAATCCAATTTATTAGCTCAATTATTGTTACAAGAATCTCCAATTTTCAGCAGATAATTTGATCATTTAGATCTATTTTATATTTCCTCCCACTTTACAAATTTTTAAAATTTACGTTAACAATTAGTGATTTTTGTTATTCAAAAAAATATTTTTTTGCGAATTCCGTCTGTTTTTTGAAAAAGATTCATTTTATTTTTTGTTAACAGTAATAATAGTAATTATATTTTCATTTATTTATTTACATCTTTTTTATAATTTCAGCATAAATTAATTTTTTCTTCTTATAATATAACAATTATATGTCCCAAATATTCTTCTTTTTCTTCTAATATCTACCTATAACTGGTTTGGACGATCTACTGGTGACTAAGGTAAGGCCTTTCCCCTCCTCCCGATCTGATATCATTCCTGACCATATCATTCCAAGCTGTGATTGGTCCTCCTCGATTTTGATGCCATCAATTACAGATTTCAGTATCTCGATCAAAGGTATATTGGTTCCTGTTATGGAAGACCATGGACCAACTAGCGGGAATGAGATGAGAATTCACTTAGCGAGTAAGTAGATTCATCTTAAATAATAACAAAGGTAGATAACTTCTTGATATGTTCAACGCCATGTTTCGCAGCCGTATAACGGGATTATGCATACTACAGCCAGATGCGAATTTCCATTTTGAGTTTGGTTTTTGTGATGATTCCAGAGGTTTCAACCGACGAAAGAAGGCTTCTTTAAGTGCTGCTATCCAATTTCATCTTCCACTAATTATGAGAGTGGAACCGGGAAAGCTTGGCATTTCCTGAACCACTGATGAATTTATAATGATTTATAATTTATAATGAAGATAATTTTCGTAGCTACTGTCGACACTCGATCCATATCTGTTGAGTTTCTTGTAACCAATTATCAACGAAAAGGACAACATAATCGGCGCATTCAAAGTCCATGATATACCCTGGACTAATTTGTACGTCTCAAATGTGCTGACAAGCGATGCGCATAAACCATTATCGCATTAGTTATCGCATTAACCATTAGTTAAAAATAGAGAAGCAACCTTGATCCACAACGGTTTGCATTTTGAAAAGGTCATTTCCCCACACTTCTGAATTCTATTTTTTTTCAAATAAGTTATCTCTTTCTATGGAACTCCATCATGTTGCATAACTTATTAGAGCGGCGCCATATCGATCGAGTAAAAACCAGCTGCAAATTCGAAGTGATATATGAAGAGTATGATAGCAGGCCGCCGATATGTAATGACGATATCCCTTACAGTGTGAAAATTTGATCAGTACAACCACGACTTTTTAAATCCAACTTTAGCGCACTGTCTACTCAGTACAAAAAATCTTCCCATAAATATTCAGCAAACCCTTTCTCTTAACTATTGTCACATCCTATCATTTTTGAAAATTGGGAGCAGAATCTCCTCGCTCCAATCACATATATTCCTTTATTTCTTCTCCCACACTAGTAAATATACCCTTTGAAGAAGTGGAGTGAGCAGCAGTTTAGCTCGACTGTAATCATGTGGCCTATGAATGCATTCCAATTATATCTTGAATTTTAGATCTTGAATTGAATTTTGAATTCTTCGTAGTTAGGTTTAGATGCAAAGAATTTTCTTCATGGGGAGATGCGATCTTTGACAGTCTTGATGGTCTCATGGTTTTCATTCTCATCTCGGATTGCTTCAGTGATCATTTCTAGAACTTCGACTGTGTTGTGAAGTGGAATAATTTTCAGTGATTGCCCACTCAAATTGCTTTCTCCATATTCCAAGCCATATAGTTCCAGTATGTTTTTGTCCAGTCTTTATATACCTATGGAGCTACCGATAGGTAGTATATACTGGTACGAACGCTCTTTCAAGCGATTTCTGAAGGCAACTCTAGATGTGACCGGTACCTATCGAGGATTCCAGAGGATCGCTCTTTTAAAGTCCATTAGGTGGCTAATAATATTTAAAATTACAAATGTTAAATTTAAAAAGCATTTTAAAAAAAATTAAATATATTAAATAATAAAGCATTAAATAAACAATATCATTCTTTCAATAGCTCGCCACTGCTGGATAGGTTTGCACCACTGGCGAGAAAGTTTAAGCAGTACAAAGCCACTCGATCCGACGCCATGTTTTGTATGTTTCGTCTCCACCGCATCTTCACAGGCTAACCAGATATTTCTGGAAGAACGTTTATATACATTGACAACAGGCCAGAACAAAAACTTGGTTATCGGAATCAAGTGAATTGCTCGAGTAGCAACCATTGATGTCTTTGTTACCCAACTCTAACCCTAAATCAAATCATGAAAACGGAATAAATTCGATAAGATGCTAATCAAACTTCATTATTGTTCGAAATACAAAAATATGAAAATTCACCCAACTTTCGACAAATTTATCAGAAATAAAGGAAAAAATATTCTTACATTCTAAAATACACTAAATTTTCCACCAGAAATAAAAATCCACCAAACAAAACTGTACCGAACTGGTCGAAAATATAGCGATTTGCGGAACCACGCGAAATCTGGTAACACCGGCTGGAGCAACGATTATGATGCTTCAGTGCTCAGCACCATCTTCGATTTCGGTGGGTTTTTTAACAGAAGAAGCTACATGATAAGGAAGAAAGGCTGCGAAATAGATATTGTTTCCATTAATCGGCCTGAGTTAAAGACAAGTTTTGTTGGAAATGCTTTGTAATTCCGTTGTGGTGTAGGGCCAGAGGCTGTGTTTCGTCAGCGGTCTGCTTGATTTCTGAATGTTACTTCGTTGGGCAGTTTTTCGTCTTTAATGTTCGTTCTATTTTGTATTATAATCCTGTTCCTTCTCTCATCTAATTTACACCATTTCTGGTCGAGCTACTTCTTTTTACTATAGGATGAGGCATTTCCAAGCTGCTATATCCGTGCGGGTTAATTAAAGAAGTCACTTCTTTTCCTACCGCTTCAGTCGATTATCGTTTAGTCTTTTGTGCGTCCAAAGTTTCTCGTGACCATGTGACATTTTAAACAATTTTATTTTGTAATTCAGTATTTCCACTTTATCAACATACTTTATATCACTAAATTTATGTAAAATTCCAGTTTCAGGTATGAAACTATTTTGATTTATTTTTTCAATTTGAATTTCGTCTATAAAGAATTTTCTCTCTCTCATTTATAAGGAAGTGATTTTTTGGTTATGTTGGTTATGATTCCGTCAATTGCGCGTGTGGTTACTTTATTAAATTAGTACTCACTCCTTCTTGTCTCTTCCATTCATTTATTGCTTTCTAATCAGTGAGTGAGAATTCTGATGCACACATAATCGAAAAGTGTATGATTCGTGTATATATAATTTTATGTGATTTATAGTTTTATTTTAGTTTTTTTTTGAAATGACAAAGTCAACATGGTTTGCAAACTTGGTTCTAAGCTTTCTTGGTGGATTCATATCTTATCGAATAATTCTTGAATATATTCCCATTTTTATACAACGAAAATTATATGGAAGAGATCGATGCAAGGTTTTTTGTTTCTGTTGCTAAAAAAAGCAAAAATGTGCTTGTGATAATAGTAATGAATACGAGAATCGTAAAAGCGATAACTGATATTCATGTGCATTTATTTTTTCAGCCAGTAATCAACTAATAAAGAATTCCTATCACGGATAGGCGATTTTTTGTTTAGATGGTTGGCACGATTTTAAATTTTTTCAAAACAATAACTCAAAGTTATATATAATGTAAATAAAAGAAATAGATGGTTTGCGCTGGCTGCTAACGGTTGAAAATTTTCGTCAAAGGCACTTGGTTGTACAAAGTGGATAGCTTATGTTAATGACAGGTCTGCTGTTGTTTCACGCAGGAGCTAAACCCTTGTCTATCAATATAAAATAAGATATATGTCACTGACTTTCGGTTATCCTTTCTCTTATTTATCATTTACCAAAAAATTTTTCTAAACATGGATAATCAGTAATATTAAAATTTAGTGCCACTGCAGTCTAAATATGTATTATTTATTTTATGTAAAAATTACATTCCACAGTATTAAATAATAAAAAGTTTCTTCGAAGGAATTTATTATTTTTTCAATTTCTTTCCTGCTAATTACTTCCTTATCCCGATTTATTGCTAGTAATTTTCTCCATCAATGGAGTATATCGTCGCGCTTTTATTAAGGATAATGTGTATAATACTTTGCATGCTAATCTGTCTCTTGGTTCTCTTGGTCAATCAGGTGAATTGTCAAAGTGAGGCCATCGTTATAAATTGTAAATTGGCAAGAGTGGAGGAAGTTTTGTTAAAAGAAACCGAGAGTGAGGAGTTGGTGGTTGGTGCCTCTGAAAGGAGCATAGGAATAAATTTAAATCATTAAAAAATTCAGATGCTGAGGACCCGTCTCTACTACTGTATCCAAATGATTGTATGGCAAAGGAGTCTCATCTTTATTGCCAGTGGAGCGAGACTGATTGCTGAGGGAGAATAAAAAAAAAATTTCTGAAACAGCGAATTTTGAGGTGATTGTAAGAGGTTCCGTAGTTCCCAATTATCAGTTAAACAGTTTCTCTTAATTTTATCTTTATTTTTGTTTTTTTTGTTTTTTTCTTTATTTTCCGAAAAACATTCGAATAATCCAGAGTAAAAAATTCTTTGGTAGTTTGTAAATATTTTATATTATTATTCCATATCCAACTTTCTATATCATCATTTTTCCTCTTGTGTTTGTATTTTTTCTTAATTAAAGCAAATTATCAGATAGCACCAAAAATTCAGTTAAAAAGTAATGGTGATTAATCATTTATAAATTTTTCATCAGTAGTTTTTTTTCAATTTTAGGTGAATGTTGAGCCAGTCGCAGAACCAGTCGGAGTTGTTTCAGCAGCTGTTTATCTTATTATTATGTTTTTGTTCATACCATTTTTGTTCTATGAATGGGCTTCAAATGAGTAATTTTTTATTCCCTATTTTTTGATTCCAATATTTTTGTGAGGACCGGTAAAGCATCTTTTTTATATTGAAATTTTTGCTTAATAAGCCACAGAAACAGCTTTTTATTTGCACTGAGTTGATGAGAAATTATCAATACTTGTGCAGTTTTAAGCGAAATTCGCACTCTTAGAACATAAAAAACGTTATGTAATTGGATTTTGTACTTCTTTATATGGAACTTGAATTTTATAGTTCGATTTTTTGCATTTTGTGATTGTGATTTTTCTTACTTGGGTCCTTGCTTCTTGGCGCGAGTAAACCATATTTTTTTTCAACTCTTTCTTTTAGGTCTCCATTTCCGCATGAAAAACTCTTGATATTTATGTCTGCGATAGTTGGAATCTGTTGTGCGATACTCCTGGGATTTGCTGATGATATGCTTGATTTACGGTGGCGTCATAAATTGTTGTTTCCGACTTTGTCGTCTTTGCCTCTTCTTCTTGTATATTACGCCACAGGTAATTATTTTTTTCCAGATTGTTTATCAAATATTTATCGGAAAATTATATTTTTAAAATTATTTTTAAAATTTTGTTATTTAGGTTCATCAACAACAATTATTGTTCCTAGCATTGTTCGAAAAATAATTCCTGTCAGTGAAAATATCGATATTGGGTTCTTATATTATCTATACATGGGAATTATGGTATGATTAAGACCACGTTTTTTCCTGTCATTTTTTTCTTAGGTTTTCAATTTAGATTGTTTTTTGTACTAATGCAATTAATATATTGGCTGGTATAAATGGTCTTGAAGCAGGACAAGCTTTGATTATCGCTATATCTATTGCACTTTTTAATATCATCCAGGTTTTATTCGATTTTCTTATTAATTTGCCTTATGAATTGTTTTGGAACAATTTCAGATTATAAATTATAGTTTATTCTCTTATTTTATATTTTAGCTTATAAGATTGGAAACTGAAGCTCTGTATCATTCGCTATCGCTTTATTTCTTGTTGCCATTCATCTCAACTAACATTCCTTTAATTTATTGGAATTGGTATGCGTTTTGCCATTTTTTTTTAAGCTACTAAATTTTTATTGATGTATCTCTTACTTCTTCTCTTGCCATTAACAGCTCTTGCCATTACTGGTTAGACTTCGCTGGCTACGAGGGTAAGATCCAAGCTCTTTGATCCGATTCCACCGCTGACAATAATAGAAGCCATACCTTTTTCCATCATCCAAGTATCAGTCCAGATCTTGATTGATCGTCTTCGATTTTGACGCCATCCATCATAAGATTTAACAAGTAGCGAAATAGGTGTCAGTTCAGTCAGTCAGGTGAACAACGAAGAGCATGCCCTAACCAGCGAAGGCGACTCTCTGTGATGATACTGTTAATACAAGTGGTATTTGAACGAAAGTGGATGTAATCGTGTTAGGTTTTATCCACTCAACGAACCCGTAAAATGTATCTTAGACGTAAGTGGTCTATGACAGGTGATATCCTCCATTCTCATCGGCCGTGCTTTGCAGCCATGTCAGACGAATTACAGCTTTATAGGCGAGATCATTCGTTTTAATAGTGATTTCGCTACATCTCCATAAAGGTTTCGTCAACCGGATGAACGCATTTCTAATTACCGTTATTTGGGTTATAATTTCGTCTTTCGCTTTACCATTTGAGATTGGAGTGGATCCCGAGATTTGAAATTTGGCATTTCCTCAACTGACAAAGAATTGTTAAAAATTGATAAACATATTTAATTAGCCTTTTGTAAATAAGGCGAAAAGACTTTCGTTTCATTTACATTGGCCCTGAGTCCGATTTTTGCAGTTACCGACACTTCGTTAAGCATTATTTGCATTTCATCATAACTGTTAGCAAAAATTACTGCATCATGAATGTTCAAGATCTATTGCACTATGTTCTAGACAAATTTGTACACCTCTTGCATACCTCTCGAATATCAACAAGCGTTGTCCATCATCCAGTGTATCGTATAGTTGAATATTGCAAAGGAAAGAACGCAGTCTTGACGAACACCAACCAGTTCTTATTTCAAAAGTGCTGTTCTTTTTCTTCTAACAGCTGTCACCATTAATGGTTAGGGTGGCTTCAAGGGCTACAAGGGTGTGACGTTTCCAAATAGCGCAGTCTGTTGTCATCGTCGACAGTAATAGAAGCCATTCCTTTTTCCATCGTCTAAGTCCATGTATAGCTGGTCCATCTGTACAAAATCCTTCCTGGTCATGTCAGTTCAGATTTTGATTGGCCCACATCTCTTTAGATGCCAACCATCCCAGGGTTTAGCAAATAACGAAATATGCATCAACTCCTGTGGTTGACGACGAAGAACGAGTCCTAACCAGCGACGCTCTGTGATAACATTGTTAATGCAGGTGGTATCTGAGCGAAGGTGGATACAAGCATGTGATATTTTATCTGCTCGGCGGACCCGTACCTTAGACAAGAGTGGTCAAAGGCAGATAACTTCTTAATATCCTCCACTGTTGTTGGCCATGTCTCAGAGCCATATAGCAAGATCCAACGAATTACGGCTACATAGATGAGGACTTTTGTTTTAATGGTAATTTTACGACGGCTCGATAAAGGTTTCGTCAACGGTAAGAACGCATTTCTAGCTGCCTTGATCCGAGCTATAATATCGTCTTTTGTCTGGCCATTTGGGATTAGGGTGGATCCACGGTATTAAAAGTCAAGCACTTTCTCAACAGGTAATGAATTGATATAAATAAGTCTTTTATCACCATCTTTTATATAAGACGAAAGCACATTAGTTTTATTTACATTCATTTTGAGTCCAAATCTCGCTGCAATTCTTAACACATTGTTTAACATTATTTGCATTTCATTATAACTGTCAAAAAAATGGACTACATCAGCATATTCAAGGTCTGTAATAATACTATACTCTGGACTGATTTGCACACCACTTAATTCCCGGCAAGCGATGCTCATTATCCAGTCTATCGCATAGTTGAATATTGTAGGGAAAGCACACATCCTTGACAGACCCAGTTCTTATTTCGAAGAAGCCTATCAGTTCCTCATATACATAGATCTGCTCCGATGTACGCTCATAAAATGCCTTTATAAGTCGACTGATCTTCTCAGGAACACTGTCGCGTTCCAACATCTTCCAAAGCGCCTCTCCGTCAGTTGAATCAAAGGTAGCCGCAAAATCGATGAAATACGTGACAGCGGATTGCAAATATGTGAAGCGATATTGTAACATCCTTCTTAACATGAATACGCATCCTGCTATCCCATATTTCCATAAATCTGTTGAGTAAAAGGGAGGAAAAATTTTCGCTGAAACGTCTGGTAGGTTGATTCCTCGATAATTGTAGCAGTATATCCTATCATCTTTCTTGAGAATTGTGAGCAGAATTGCTTTGCTTCAATCATCTGGTAATATTTCTTTTTCCATACCAGAGAGTACATTTGATGAAGGTGTGTTATGAAGAATGAACAACATTTAAAGAGTTCAGCCCGAAGACCATCTTCTCCCGGAGCCTTATTGGCCCTAAGCTTATGGATAACAGATATTATTTCTTCTTGAAGTTGCAAGCATATGGTTTAACGAACGTATCAGCTGTTTCACGGGCAAAAGGTGGTGCTTAATGGTTAAGTTTTGCCTCAAAAAATTCTTTCCATTTTATGAGAAGGTCCTTAATATTCTTGACTGGCATGCCATTGCTATCTTATACCATTTCGCTGATCGTTCCCCAAGTCATAGTTGCTTTAAGAGGAAGGCAGAATAGTCGTCTAATCGAGCCGCCGCCTCCATTCTT